TGTGTGTGTGTGTGTGTGTGTGTATGTGTGTGTGTGTTCCCATAGGTCTTTTAGTGACAGGAAAGAAGGGAATGGAGATAAAAGCATCAAGAATCAAATATAAAAGCCAGTTGGAAGTCTGGGAACTTTTCCCTGGATACATGGAACAGAACAGGCCTAAGGAAAGCCTGTAACACACAAATACAAGAGAAGGAACACAGTATGAAAATGACATAAGAAGGTTCATGAGTCCCATAGCCCAATGCTTTTTGAGTGAATGCTTTTCCCTTTTACTAGCCCTCTCCCTCTTCGGAGTGTTTTTCTCGTTCTTACCATACCATTTCAATTTCATTACCTTGCTATGTGTCCCTAGTACAATTCTGTCTTGAGACACAAGAGTCTGGAAACCAGCAGTGCCCTACCCCCCTTTCCCCAAACTTAGATCCATCTGTACCTCTGAGGGCAGGCTCATCTTAGGCATATAGAACTCTAGAGTCCTGTGGAAGGAGAACCCCAAACCAGTACTCCAAGAATCAGCATGGATTTCTGAAATGCCATATAAAACACAAGAAATCAGAGTCCAGGAACCATTAGGAGAACCATGGTGGTAAAAGATTATCTAGTCTGGTACCCTAGTTAGCCTGGAAATGAGACCTTTTACTATGTCTGTGGGGGGACGAGATGTGCCAGTAATAATGGAGATGAAAATTTCCATCAGTTTGATAAGATATGAATGAGCTGATTTAAAGGTAAGAAAAGTAGTGCTTCCTGCATACCCACATTCATGAACTCAGGTTCATACTCACTGTACTGACTGGGCATGAAATATATGGACACGTGGGAAGTGCTGTGGGAAAACACGGCTAGTGTCAGAAAAGAAGGTGCAGGGACAATCCTACTGAGGCAGGGTTAAATGCCTGGCGCTTTCTAGAAATGGGAAGATGTGCTTGGGATAGCTGGTTGTAAAATTCTGTTCCTGTGGCTCCAGTGGGCAAGTGTAAGTGGATAGGTTCCACTTATTGAATTTACCTCTCAGTATGAGACACAGGTAGAGAAAAAGGAAATTGGTTCTTTTGAATCTCATACTGTGATCTCAAGCCTGGAATGGAACAAAAAGGAAAGCTTCCTGAAAGGCATACACTAAGCACATCTTTTTAAACTTAGTTCTATTCTGTATTCTGTATTTGCATGCACAAATGTGCCATGGTATTTACAGTTAATGAGACCTTGGCAATTTTTTTTTTAAATTAGCAGTCAAAGGGATGTGGACTTTACCTGGGTTTAGCAACCTCAAAACTCAAACAACCCATAATATGTTTATCAAGTTTTAAGTGCTCTCTCAGATTATCAAATATTTAAAGACTGAATTATACTCAGCCTTTGTCTCTATAGATTTTATCTCGGTGGTCTTACTCAACCAAAGAACAAAAGTACTCAGATAAACCCTACCTATATGCTGAACATGTGTAAAACCGGCCTTCCTTGTCACTATTCTGTACACATGCATTGAGCTGCTCTGTGCCTCTGACTCCCCAGAGAATAAGGCCCAGGGAAGCAGACCTTGGTTTTCCTCCACTGAAAATACCAGAAGCTTGAAATACGCAGACCAGTGTCTAAGTAATTTTTGAACATCAAAATGATAACTTCTGGTTTGCCAGAAGATTTATTTAAATGCAGATGTCCCCTTCTGGGACCTACTTAGAAAGCTGTGTGTTTCACCTTGCATGCCATACAAGTGAACTGAGGGACTTTTGTATAGGACATCCTAGGGTTTCACTGGTTATAAATGACATGAGATTGCTAGCCTGTCATGTCAGAAAAGGTCATTCCTGTCAGAAATGTGTGCTGACTAAAGTACCACTTAAAGTCACATTACTTGTAAGAGACAAAATCATAAATAGGCAGAATCAACCCATGCTTTTATTTTCATGGCATATAAAAATTTTATATGAAGGTATTGATGTACAGTGCTATCCCCATGGGCTGTAAGAGAGGCTACGAAACCACTAACAGATTCATCATCTGTGATGCTCACACACAGTTCACCACTCTGAAAACATACCCAAAGAAATAATTAAAAAACTGAAATCAGTAAAGGGTGTATTTTCTGAGTATAGTGTCCCATTTGTACTGTTTAAAACAAAAGTAATCAAATTCCTTTGGGCCAGGGCTGCTAAAATCTACAGTTTGTGTCAAAAATAAAATGAAATAATAGAAGGCTCTTTTTTTTCCTAGAAAAAAAGAACTTTTTTCTATGTGACAAATTCTAAGGGCTGGGCTGTAGTGGGAGGTGGCCACCATTTCCACAAGGAAGCTCTCGTGGCTTTTAGGACTGGCCATTGTACAAGGCTAGGCTTAACAGTTCCACGTGGACACACAAAACAATTTTAGAGACACGAATTCTTTATTTTTACATGAATTGGCATCGTCATATAACTGTGTTTAAGTAGATGATTCACATGTACATGTCTGTACACGTGTATGTATGCATATGTATTATACATATGGACTATGTATAATACATATCTAAATTTGGTTAATCTTGGAGAAAAGACAGTATTAAAAATAGTGTAATGTCTTGGCATGGCAGGAAGCTGGTGACCACAGGGCTGACGAGATCAGTGATCTATGGCTCCCATTTCAAATCTAATGCATCTCCCTGTGAGGTTTAGAAGCCAGAAGGCTATTCTACGGTCACTGGAGAAGACTGTTTCCTTAGTCTGTGGTTTGGGAGTAAGAAAACCAATCCTGTGTGTCCAGGTGAAGTAGCTCTCAGTACTCAGCTGGTAAACACGCACCATCGGTGCCATTTTGCTCCATGGCAACAAGTACTTAAGAGCTTTTAACTCACAAGGGTCAGAAGGTTCTCCAGCAGTGATCTATAGATTGTAATCCAATCAGTGAGGATCAAGGCTCCAAAATGCCCAGCCCCAGCCTCACTATCACCTAACTTTGAAATGCAGCAAAACAGAAGAAAGTATTGGTTACAGTTAAGGCACAGCCCTGGGACCAAAGACCTGCAGCTATGTTATTTAAATTTATATATCTTTATGTATCTTATATTTTGCTTCAATTTTCCATAAACAAGCTCTATGATGACGAGACTATATTACAGAAGAAAAAAAATGTACAAGGAGTATGTATACACACCATTCATTCTCTCACCAAGAGTTTCCAAATATGTCAACACCATCCCAGCTTGGGATGATGTTTTAATAAGAACCGATAATTTACAATTAACATTACAGTATGTACATTGCAATAAATACACGGTTGTAAACAGACAAACAAGACTGTATTACAGGTAAGGTCATTTGGTGAGGAAAAAAATGCATGGCACAAAAAAATAAATAATGCATTAAAATTATCATAAAGCTTTCTGTAAAATCTGTTTCATTCAAGTTTATTTTTTTTCTCTCCTTATCTGCAGTTTGTTCTATCTACACTGTGTACTTGTGACTTTTAACTGACGTGGATAAAAACATAATGGAAGTAGCATTATCATGTTCAGTAACTTGCAAGCTGAAATGTACTGGTTTTATGCAAATCTTAGACTTCTTTTTCCTCCATACAGTACCTAGATATTGCATTTTTCTTACGGCATTTTAGGAAATGTAAAGCCACTTGTATAAAGATGTTCTTGTTAATTCAGTGTGTATTGTGAAGCACACTGACAAGAGAGAGTGAGCAAGGGCAGGGCATGGTAAAGGGGTAGGGGTGGTAGGCAGACGGTTGAGTAGGTATGGTATATTAGTCCCTAACTCTTGGATATTATGTGTCCTCTACAGCTTGATTGTCCGTCAGTGGATACCTTGACAGCACAGTGCCATTAAAAACCAACACACTACAAAACAAAAGCTCCATTACTGTAGTTGTAAAGGCTAGCAGTATGGATCTGTTTATGTCATATTGCTTATTTATTTACTTATTTTATTATGAAGACTACAGGCACTCTGTCGGGGGAAATGCCACACATAGGGAGTGGAGAAAGTGAGAATGATTGGGAAAGCAGGGTAAACTCTAGACTCTTCCTTCGATTTTCCTTCTAGACCTCCCTCAGGGATCCAGAAAATGAAGAGAGAAACAGGTGTCCCAAGTGTTTTGTGAAATTTCTGGTCACACAAAGGCTGACTGGGTACCATTTACTCTTTACGAGAAAAGGTGGCTTGCCACTCCAATATCAGTTGTTTGGTTTTTATCCTGCCCTGTGTCCACGATCAGAAACACTTCTGTACCAAAGGCTCTCAGCATCGTTTGGATTCAGTTGAAACAGGGTTTCAGAGCAGCTTGGGTGATTTCTCTGGCTGACGATTTACTTTCTCAGTCACTAGCCCCCAACTTCCTTGAGAAGTTTTATTCATGATTTTTTTTCAGACTTATGACTTTTCTTAAATGTATCCTTTTTTCCATTTGGTTGTACACCACTTTAGTCCTCATTTGGGTGCCAAAAAGGAAAATAACATGGCCTCCAAATCTTACACCAAGAACCTTACAACTAAAGTCTAAGGCTAGACACGTGATGCATGAGGCTGGACTGTTATCACCAAGTTAACCCTGGGAACTCATCTATAAAGTCAACTGAGTTCCTGGAGCTGAAATCTGGAATTCCCTCTTCATGTTCTACTGAGGCGGACTCACACAATCCACTGTTTTAGACTCCATCACATCACAACCTGCCTGGAGCCAGGGGCATCATCAACTCTCCTTTACCCTGTCTGTAGCAGTCCTTCATTTGGGACAAGCTGACGCAGCACTAATAATCAATAGCAATGTCCACATGGGATTGGGCTATCCATTAGGAGAGAGCAGCTGCAACACTTAGAACCACTTCCCAGGGCTACTCCTCATGGAGGTCTTACTTCCATGGGCAGTTCAAACAATAGCTGTCCTGGTATTCATTGACAGAGTCAGCTGACATCCTTAAGAATTGCCTATGTAACACTTAGCATGCTTCTCCTCTGCAACCTCAGAGGAAAAGCTAGCAAAGACAGAACCATGTAATAGAATTCAACTGCAACCCTAACCTGACAACCTGTTTCTTTTTTCTCAGTCAGAATGGTAGTGACATACTTGGTAAGAACCCAACATGGGCAGAGGCTGGCATAGACATTAAATCAAGCAGCATGATGGGAAAATGTGTTTTTCTTCCTGTAACTGGCTGTGAGCAACAATGAAATGATCATGAGATGTACATGAATGACCTTCTACAAGGAGAAGCATTTGTGAATGCATGTCTCCTGACACATTAAAAAATTAAAAAAAAAAAAAGGAAGTCATCAGTAGGCAGTGGGTAGGAAAACGCCTGGAAAAGACTGATTGTTTTAGCTACTGGGTATTTATATAGCTCCCATTGACTTCAGACAAGAGCAGTTCCTATGAGGTTTAAGTCACACTAGACATAATGCACATTGACGTATCACAGAATAAATAGTTTGCACACAGTGAAGGAAGCGATGGGGGAGAGCAACTCTCCTGGAGGCGGAGGAGTGAAAGAAAAGGAGGAGTCAATGGACACTTACAAAAAGGGTTTCCGGCAACACAAATTTGTTTCTCTGTTTTAGAGTATGGAAGTCATCGGTATATAAAACAATGAATCACTACAAATCAGTTCATTGCTATGAACTCTAAGGTGCGAGTAAAATTCGTAAATGAGATTTCTCCAGTGTGGTACTGATCCGTACTGAAAACTTGCAAGTTACATCTTAGTAAAAAAAATAATAATAATAATAATAATAACCAGCGGCAGATGAAGTTCTGAACAGACTTTTGTTTTGTTTTGTGTTTTTTTTTAAATATAATACCTCAATACATTTAATAATAAAAGTAAGCTCTACAAAAAAATTTGTTTTACATATCATACAAAATGTAGAGGTGCGTGTGGCTCACTGAACCACACTGTTCAGTCACGTATCAGGAAGACTTGAAATTAGAAAATTATGCAATTGCTGTGGCTCATCCTCCTGGGGACAGATCCAAGCTGTGTCCTGTTCCTGACCCTTTCATTGCTACATCTGTGAGTTCACGATACGCATCATCAAATGCCGCCTTTCTTCTTAAAATTTCTGCAAACAAACCAGGAAGGAACCCTGCAATCCGATCTACGTCTGGGCAGCTGGATGAGCCACGCTCCCTTGAAAACAGTTGGAGTTGATTTTATCTGCCTTGTCAGCTCTACCGGGCTGACGTCACGTCAGCATCGTGTTCGTGAAGACATCTCCCTTCTCCGATGACATGGGGGTGAAAGAACTGGTTACAATATTCCTGAGCGCCAGACTGAGTAGTTCAAGGTCAGTTTTGTTCAACAAACGTCCTGGCAGATGACAGTGAGGTGTGACCATGGCTGTAGCATGTGACATGCACTTTGGAAACAATTGTTTTCTACTTAAAAAAAAAAAAAGAAAAAAGAAAAAGTGTGACAGCCTTTATACTGTTACGTGTCAGGACAGCAATCATCTGCGACACAAGTTTCAGGCTGGCTTTCCTCTTCTGCTACAGCCTCCTCTTCAACCTGCTCATCAAGGGGAATTTCAGTGGACTCCGAGTCTTGGGTGCACAGAGTCTTAGAGTCACTGCAGCTAGTGTCTTCCTCCACTTGACTTCCACTGTCCTTTTCAGTGTCTGACTCGCCGTCTTCCTCTAAGGTTAGTTCGAACTGGAATTTTTCAGTCTGTCCCTGCCGGCCCTCCTCTTGGTCATCAGGTGCAGGGGAGGGGCTCTGGGGGATTGTGCTCTGGTACCACTCACGATTGTCCTCCAAAGTGTCCAAAATGTCCTGGGCATCAGGATGTACGAGGTCTGCCCATGTCTCCCAGAGTGGATGAACAATATAGTCTATGAAGCCCACCTGGTCATAAAAGAAAAGAAATCCAGTGGGATTAAGAAACTTGGAGAAGCTCAACCAAATCATGGTCCCACATAGAGCCTGCATATAAGATTACTAACCTGAGTTTGGTTAATTGGTCAGCTTGAGCCAATAGATCATGTAAGTATGGCTATTAGCCGGCCAAAGTTAGAACTCTTACCTCAAGAGATACTGACAATAGAAAGAAAACTAGTTATTTACATAGTAGGGCCTAGGTCCTGGACCTTATATGGGAATAGCCCATTTGTAGAGAATCCAGATAAACTGAAATAAACCAAGCATTCTACGTATGGAAGCGCATTAGATGGACAGAGTCCCAGTGAGAGACTACAGCACCATATATATGTATGACTATATGACTATAAATCATAAGAAAATCCTTTGACTCATCAACAGAAGTGAAGTCTATCGTGTCAAATCCAAAGTAATTAAAAAACCAATACTGTGAGGGTATAAAGACAGAGCAGCCAAGCGCTTCAGCTGTGGCTCCGCCCCTTCTCTGTGCTGCTGAATTACCTGTGATTTTTCCACAGAGGCGTTGTGCTTGTCACACATGGGACTTATCTCCATGCCGCGTTCACGTTCCCTGTCCCCCTGGCGGAAGAACTCCTCCATTATCCGGTCCGTCCACTGTCGGTACAGCTGGAGTGGCTTTGTGGGGTTGCTCAGGTCTGCACAGTGCACCATATTCTGAAGGACCTGGGGTGGATGGAGGCATTCTTTATTCGGCATCTGCTCTTTTTGGTTTGAAACTAGGAATTCACATCAGATGACTGTGACACTTACAAATACGTGTAGTGTCAGATTTATTTCAGACAGCTCAACCATGGTGTGCCTCTGGATTTCACACTTGTATTAATAGTTCTGAATTATGCCACTTCTGCATCTAACTGTCTTGAGAGGCACTGTTAGTGTGCACCAAAGATTAAGTTCCTAGCTGCTCAAATGGTCTGCGTTTTGGATGTTGAGTTTTTGTTTTTGTTGTTACTGTATGTGCAAATGAACAGACCAATACAATTTTATTTGGTTAACTGCAAATGTCTAGGCATGTATATTGCTTTTTCTGATTGTGTGGGTTTTTTTTTTGTTTGCTTGTTTGTTAGCTTTCTAAATAGACAAAAAAAAAAAAAAAAGGACATGTGGTTGGGTGGGTGGGGAGGTGGGAAGGATCTGAGTGGAGGTGGGGGAGGAGAAGCCATGATCAGAAAATATGGTGTGAATACTATTTTCTTTTCAATTAAAGTCAAAGAAGAGTAAGATAAAGTTCCTGTGTGTAGCTTCTGAATGTATGCGGTATGACAAAGGAGACATTCTTGTCTTCTTCAGTCACTAACATGGGCATAAAGAACACACTCAGATGCTGGTTTACCTGGATCCTGTCGGAATAGTTATCAAGGAGGAGGACGCCAGAGCTTGTCACCTTCTTAGTTTCAACCATCGTTTTCAGATCAGCCAGCAGATTCATGTGCTTTGACATGTCTGTCGCAAGTACCTGACAGGGCAAAGATTGTTCTATGAGCTAAAGCCAAAAGGAAGATGGATTTGCAAATGGACAAAGACTGAGTACGAGAAGGGATGGAGAGTCACTATGAAGTGAGATTATGAATTATGAAGTAACAATGTGTGGAGATGACCTCTTCTGGGGGACTCTCTTTCTCACTGATGACATGTTTTCTAGGAGCTCAGAAAAACATGCACAGCACTGAAACATCAAGTGCCTGACTGACACTCTCAAGGTAAAAGCCACCATCGTATTCTCTGCTCTTGTTCTGAGCTACTGAGACTTTGCTGCACTATAACCCACTGATTCAAGGCTACGCAAACATCGCTCAGATGTGCAGTACTGCAGTTAGTTTTCTTTTGTTGCTGATCAAGGACAAATGGTGTTTCAACAAAACTTGGAACTGTACTTTGGGGGCTGACAAGATAGCTGGATGTAAAGGTGCTTGTCACCAAGCCTGATGACCTGAATTGGAACCCTAGGACCTAGATGGTAAAAGGAGAGGGAGAGAACTGACCCACACAAACCATCCTCTGAGTCCATAAGTACACTAGGCAATGTGTGTGCATATATATCCCCAAACAGAAATTTAATAATTGAATGTAATTTTTTCAATTAAGTATAATTTTGTAATATCCACATATTTTCCCATTGTCAGACTACTCCAAATAATGTACAGAGAGGTAAGAGTCAAGTTGAAGGTATTTCTAAGTGGGTAGGAAGGAGGGAAAGACTCCAGTGGAGTTGCAGGGGATTCCCCATATCTTCTGAGCTGCTGAGTCATCCTTCTGTACCCCTACTGGCTGAGAAGAGTTCAGAAAATAAACTGACTAGTGAGGCCCTTTGTCTTAAATCCCAACTGCTAGGGACAGACTCTATGACAAAGGAACCCTGCTGGAGAGAACCCAGCAGAGGCAATTCCTACAGATCTAAGCTAAGGTCATCTCTAAGAACTTGAATCCCTGGTTTTTTGTTTTTGTTTGTTTGTTTGTTTTGTTTTGTTTTGTTTTTGTTACTCACAATGTCAATGACCATTTTCCTTAAAGATTGTCTTTGCTTTTTGGTCAGATTCTGGAAAATGTCACAGTTTTCTTCCTGGAGCAACTTAAATCCCACAGCCAAGTGATGGTTCTCTAAGACAGAGGAGTCGTTGTACATCAAGGCAAGTTCCGAGTCTGAAAGGAAGAGCAGCAGCAGATCACCAAGGCTGTTTGATTAATGTCTGTCTCACTGCTAGCACTCCAGAGGTTGAGACAGGAGGATATCGGGTAAGGAGCTAGTCTGGGCAAACCACATGAATGAAAACAAATCCCCACGTTCTGTGATGCTTTACATTTAGGACACAGTTGCCCTTGAACTTCTCCATTACCCAAGAACAAATATGTCAAACCATCTAAGAGTCAAAAGAATGCTGGAGCCTTAGCAGAGGATTTCAGTTTGACTGATAGGTGGTCAAACTGGACTGATAGGTGGTCCTTCTGGTCAGTTTCCTGAAGTGAAAGAAGTGGATCACATTATCTCTTCAGGATCTATCAGGTCAGCAGACTGTGGCATTTTTCCTAACATCTACAACGTATCCTGGGCGTGAGGTGCCATTTCCTGATCACTGTGAATACTTGCCCGGATATATTATATGGATTGTATGTGCAAAGTTGTTTGTATGCAAGAGTGCCAGGACAGTATTCAGTTTGTTCATCATGCCCACCCTTCTTATTAACACCCCACTTGCCCCATTGTTTCCTTCTGAGGCTCCCAGCAATGTTCTATGCCTGTGGACTGCCCTTCCTGCTTGCCTACTCATGGCTTCACAGACCGTGTCCACCTGTCTACAGGCCCGAGGTAGAGATTCTGCACTTTGCATGTTGCTTTGAGCCTCTGTATTAATAATGACAAAAAGAGATTCTGCTCCTTCCTAGTCCTGAAAACAGCAGACCTAGATACAGAAGGGCTTTTTTCCCAACGATTAATTTTGTATTATGTGTATAAGTGTTTTGCCTACATATACGTGTATGTACCTCGTGTGTGCCTGGGGCCTGTGTAGGGTAGAAGAAGGCATCAGAGCCCCCTGAAAGCAGAGTAATAGATGACTGTGAACTGCCATGTTGGTGCTGGAAACCAAACCCACATCATCCTCTGCAAGAGTAGTGAGTGCTTTCAACCACTGAGCCATCTCTCCATGACCATTTTTTAAAAAAGTTTAAGGTGCTTTATTGTGTTTCCTTAAGTCACATAAAGATTGAAAGCATGGGTATTTGATCTTTATTAATATCTCTCATATTATTTATTTATTTATTTATTTATTCAGAGGCTTCTTTTAAAACACAAGTGTCTGGTACTATTTATCAATTCAAAAAGGAGCTGGAGAGGATGGGGGAGGCTTGGGATGAGATTCCCCAAGGAGACCCTATGATCTTATGAGAATTATACACACAAGAAAGTACACATCTAATCTGCTGCTCGCTGCTCCAGAAACAAGAGAGCATAGTTTCAGGAACAGATGTGCATACATATTGTTCACTCTTATTTGTCTAGAAAAAAATCAATACTTTTTAAAGGGAATGTCTGACCAAGTCTTACTTTTACTTTTAACTAGTCTATGAAAGCCTATGGGTGCACACATAGACATCTGAAATTTAAAATGACACAGAATCTGAGCACAAGACACTGTATAGTTACAGCTGACTCATATTGGAGAAACTAATGCTGGAAAGAAGGCATGATATTATCTAACTCAGAGAAATAATGTGACTTAATCTGCCAGGGTCCTTTTCGGGGAATCCACATATATGTAGATGAGGGGCATTGATATAAGGATTCCCCTGGCCTTACAGAAATGTCAATAGGTTTATATTCCCCTTGAAGAGAGAGGCAGGACAAGCTGAGGGGCTGCTGCTGATGATCTGTTTTACAGAGGATACATTCTATTCCTCCTAAGGATGGCTTGTGATGCAGAGTCCAAGGGCACTGATTAAGCTTGCCTTAGGCAAGGAAATAATTGCTTAGGGGCTATGCAGGGGGTGGTTAGCTGCTCCAGATCTGGTGCTGCTGCAGGACCACTGGACCAGGTAGTAAAAGCTTAGTTTTAAGTGAAACAACAACAAACCCCTAAGCACTTAAGAAAGTGAACCTCAAAGACATCATTAAACCTTCTATGCTTGTCACCAAACCTTCTATGCTTGTCACCAAAGGTGCAGTCACATGCAAGACGGAAGGTAAGTCTGTGGCACCTCACCAAAGATGCTAACCCAGGGCTTGTGAGTAGAGTCCTTGAAATCCACACTCCTGTATAGTATACAAACAGGAAGGTAGGGGGCAGGCAGAGAGACCTGCTGACACAGACACTTTTCTGCCACCAGTTCCATAAAATGTTTCTTCATTGCTGAAGACACAGCTGCTTGTTTCTCCTCTAAAGGCCTCTGCCACTCTGGACCACTGCTACACGTGCCCAGTCTACCTTATCCCTGAACATCATCTCCCTCTTTGAAAGTGCCAGCCTACTTAGAAACTTGGGTCTCTAAACAAAACTATAAAGATTATTGCTGGCCATCTGATTTATGTTAGATTCTTCTCCTCCCCTGTAACTTAAAAGTATGAAGAAGACAAGATCCCCAAGTTACCATACTGAGAGAACTCATCTCTATGTTGTAAGTGGTTGGTGTGGTGTGTCTTCTTCAGTGCTTGCACCTCTCCTAAGAACATCTGAATGTAACACACATTCATGAGTGAAGAAAGTCAGTCTTAGGAAAGGTGGCATTGCCAGGTGGCATTGCCAGTATCATACAGCTGGTATATCCTAGGGCCAATAGTTAAAGACAACCTGTCTCTAGACTCTTCATGTTAAGCTTTTATTATAATTTTTTGAAGAGCTAACAGTGACTCCACGTAGCCCTGGGTTTTTCTTTATAAGGAAATGTTTTTATTGCTGCTTCCGTTTTATAGCTAAGCTGTTTTTAATCTTCTTGATTTTAATTTTGTTGATGGCAGGGCCTTGCTCCAAATCTCCTGAAGCTCTGTGTCACGAATCACCAATGGAGCCTTGCATAAAGCTCCAAACAACAACCTCATGAGCGATTGGCATGCCTGAGCTCCTCTGGACCAGCAAAATCATGAGGCAGCTGCATAGCAGCAGAGACACAGGAAGGGACTTTTTTATTCTTGGTCATGAGTGAAAAATAAAACAAAAACAAAAAACAAAACAAAAACCAGGAACAGCCTTTCACAGTAGTCAGTGATGAGCCAGTGACAGATCTTCTTTGACTGCTGCTTTCAAACCTAGCCAGGCCCAGGGAGTGAGTGTGTGTGTGTCTTGGTTGTAGGACAGGTTATATGCAATTCCTATTCTTTCACCTTAGACAAGGTGGCCCAATATGCCCTACCCCACTGGGCCTTTACAAATTTCACTAAGGGACTGAGTTCCCAATAGGAGGTCCAGACTTTGGCTTTCAGCAATCTATCCCTGCTAGTGCAGCAAAGAAGGCTCTTCTGCTGACACACTCAGAAGTACAAGCTGTTTATGTGTGCCTGATCTGGGAATTCCCATCCCCAGGCTCATCATTTTCAACTAATACTTGGTCCAGTGATATTGGGAGTAACCAAGCAAAGTCACCAAATTCCTGCTGAAATGGTACAGTCCTTCAACTTCTTGCAGCCTATAAGAGGTTGATAAGAAGTACCAAGACATATCTTGGGTATCTTTATAAATGTCTCATAATACAGATTATCAGTGTTCTCTTTACTATAAGAAATAGAATCAACACTGTCTTCAAATCTAAGAGATTAGACAATACCAAAAACCCCAGACACAATTCTGAAAACTCATCCTTAAAATTCTACTCCCCCTAAACTACTGTGAAAACCCAGATCTCTGTGACTCAAGCTTCAACAGTGACACATAATCAGAAGGACAGATACAGACACTTATAAGCATTCCTATATGTTCAGGTATTTGCTTAAAGAAGCCAAGAAAGGCCTGGATCTTCAATGTATAAGCTGGAGAGACAAGGAAGTCAGTGACAATCTAGTTCTTGTCCAAAGACCAGGAGGGAATGAGGTGGGAGAGAGTGAAGTCTAGAGCTCAGCATCAAGCAGTGAATAATGGATGTCCTGGCTCAGACTGAGAGAGCCATTTCCCTCCCTTCACTGCATCTATTGTACTGGGCTCCCATTTGTTGGGTGACGGTGCCCATTAACATCGGTCAGGGTGATCTATACTTGGTCTGCTAATTCCAATGCTACCTTCTTACTGAAAGGCTTCTCCAGGCTCATTTGAAGTTAAGATGTTCCAGCTTTCTAGGCATCCCTAGAAATGAGCTATCACAGCCTAGACTGTAAGCTTACAGAGGGCAAAGATATGCTTGCTTTGCCAACACTGTCTTCCTACACTAAGGGCAAGCACTAAGGGCATAAGGATTTCTTGTTGACTGTACAGCAGTATAGGTAGACTTAAAGGAACTTTATTTTATAGTGCTAAATACCAACTTACACAACAAAACTTGAGAAATGTGATGCCCTAAAAAAAGAGTTTTACAAAAAACTTCAAGATTTTTTGATGAACTTAAAATTATTAAAAGCTCAGAATGGGCAAGAGTATAGGAGATAAAATATAGATGGTATAAGTGTAAATGGGTATAAACTTTCTGTTGGATTAAATAAAATAATACATATATAAATGTAAAATAAGAAATGTTACTGTAAGATTATATACATTCAAAGTGGTATACACTGAAGAAAAGGGGTAACTTGATGTCTAGTAACAGGACTCAAGTTGATTTTTCTTTCTTTCTCTCTTTCTTTCTTTCTTTCTTTCTTTCTTTCTTTCTTTCTTTCTTTCTTTCTTTCTTTCAGGAAACAGGTCTAGACTCGGTCTCTGAGAAGATAACAGATTATAGGTAATCAACTGTATTTATTGTGAATTTTATGTCCAAAGCTCTAGGCTTGCACATGTGCCTAGAGAGAAGTTTGAAAGATCAGTGAAAGTCATCTCGGGGAGGAATTACCTTCATGGATTTGCACACTGTGTCTCTTTCCCTTTTCAATGAACATATTATGATCATCATCCACAGAGGCTCACTGTGTAGTCTTGGCTGGCCCTGAACTCAGAGGTCTGCCCCATGCACTGAGATTAAAGACATGGCCACCAAGCTGAGCATGTACCACCGAGCCCTGAGATCAACTGGATATATATATTTTAAAAAATTAGTATGATAAAAGATGTATTCTATATTAAGAGGAACATGAGTCAACTTTTAAATTTATCAGACTTCTCCATGCAAAATAAGGAAGAGAGGCAAATCACACACAGACACACACTCATGCACACACACCACACACACATCCTTATCATAACAGATGATTATGAACGTATGTGATGAGTTTGAAAATGACAGCATGTTCCACCATATCACTAAGTCATTGGAGGCATCAACAGTCATACGTGTGAGGATTCCCGAAAGAACTAGGATGGAGAGGGACAGGCAAGGGATTGCAGGAATGGTGTTGGTGGGACTATATTAAGGTATATTACGTACATGTATGATAATATCATAATTTAACGTCAAAGTATTTTATACACATGTATGAAAATGTCACCTGTGAAAGTGGCCTTTGTCAGTGTCTTATACAATTAATGTGTGCTTTTTTAAAAAGAAAGAAAGAAGAAGGCTTCTAAACAAAATGTTCCTAAAACTATCCCTCTCCCCATCTCTCCACTCACACTATGTGTCCTGATACTTTCCAATTTCTTCCACTGCATGGAGTTTGGAGCCATCTCCAGCCACATATGTACGTGTCATTTCTGCCAGCATAACACAAGCTATCGCAGGCCAACGTTTTGCCCTTGTTCTCTACATAATCACATAGTTAAAAAATAGACGTGTCCTTATTCCAAAGGTCTAAACAAAAAAGAAAGGCCTCTATGTTATATAATCCACTAGTATATCTATGAAAACTATATGTTAAAGTGACATGAGAGACTGATGATTTCTGTAGTGTGTGAGCTGGGAGATCCCACTCCAACTTACTGTGACGTAATACTCTTGGAAACCCAGAGACACATGCTTTGAATACAAGATGAGTGTGAATAAATCTTTCTCCCCAAACTTGGGCATCTTTACTATAAACAAAACACTCTCTTTACAAGTGAAATAGAACACCATACACGTTCCGTACCTTTCACATTGTTTCACTTTTCCAGAAAATGAAACGGAAAAGACAAATGATCTTTTCCTGATAAATGCCTTTTAGTCAAGCCTTCATGAAGCTATACTTTATGGGTCGATTTATCAGCACTGTCTTTAAAACAACTAAGGCAACTTTCAATTTCTCCATGGGATTTAAATGTCTCTATGTCTGGTGTTTGCAGACCTCTACATAACCAAGACCTTCGAAAAAAATTAAGCTTCTCATTGTATACTAAGAGTCACAAATGGTCTCATAACAACGATGAAGTATCATCAACTCTGCCAGATAGAAAGGATCACCCTAGCCAGGCGGTGGTGGCGCACACCTGTAATCCCAGCACTTGGGAGGCAGAGGCAGGCGGATTTTTGAGTTCGAGGCCGGCCTGGTCTACAGAGTGAGTTCCAGGACAGCCAAGGCTACACAGAGAAACCCTGTCTTGAAAAACCAAATAAACAAACAAACAAAACAAAACAAAAAAAAAAAAGAAAGGATCACCCTGCTTTCAGAACCTGCAGGTGCTTTCAGTCCCCCAAACTAAAAAATCTCTGCAGACTAAGATCACAGCCAAGAGGCAAGGGCATGACTACACTGGGTATCTCCTGGACAATGTGCCCTGGGACATGTCTTTTAAGCTTACTCTGCCTCTGAGATCTCTTCAAGTGAAATAGCCATTTCACTAGCGGTTTGAAATGGTGATCAAAACTCAAGATTCCTTTGTTATAAAAACCAGGTTCAACCTTTGGCTTTGGAAGTTGCTTTGGAAGTTGGAAGGACCCAGCTCTGAGTCAAGGGGCTGAGAGTGTGGTAGTCTGACTCATTAGCACTGAATCCATCCATGAAAGCCAAAGAAAATATAAACTGAAGTCTCTCTCTGAAGGGTAACTACAAAGAAAAAAAGACATGGAATTTTGACAAATTACTTTGTAAAGGTCTTAGATTTGTTATGTTTAAAGTCCCTGGAGATTCAATTGTTACATGCTGTGAATATAAACCATTTGCATTACTGAAGAGGAAGAAAGGAAAAGGCGAGGTGGGAGCAGGCAGGGGAGACTGCAGACTCCCATGATCACACAACGCTAAGTCAGTGATTCTGGCCGAGCTGTACTGCAGACTCACTGGCTGAGGAATGACACTTCATCACTGCACAATCATCTGAATGGGCAAGGAGAGCTGCTCCTTGAGCTGAGGTCTTCTCAGTGTTGCTGTGGTCCCACCCACCATCACAATGTTAAAAACAGGGAAGTCCCAGAAACAAGGATGGCTATCGGGTTTCTATGTAGGCGTGTCACCAGAAAAATGAACCCATGTAGACACCTTTGGCCACTTTTCTAGCTCTATAAGCATCCCCAGAATTTCTCCATTATCTGTTTGGTTGTCTTTCAGTATTTAAAGGGATGGGGGCTGTGCTAGCTGAGTTAGCCAACTCCACAGATGCCCTGCTGCCCACCGGTGTCCAACAGGTGCCAGCCACGTCCCAGCTGTGTTAGGAGGGTTCATGGAAAGAATAGAACTTGTACATGTTATCCTAAAAACTACAGTAGAATACTTGAAAGATGGTGATGGTATTATGATTCTATTATGAGTTACTTAAACGTGTTTGCTGCTCTTCACTCTGATGCCATTATGAGGGACACACACTAACATAGATGACAGAATACAAAGGAAATACTCCTTCAATGTGACTTAAAGAAAAAATAGGTCTCTCTTAAATGTCAAAAATTAAATCTAAACAAGATATTCTGTTGACATCTATACCATTAAGGACATACCAACACATGGCAGGCCTCAAACTACTGAATAGGCCAGACTTATAGAAAGTTCCAGTGAACACTGCACCATGTGACCTGCCAGTCCTTTTGAGAAAGTGCTCGGTCTACCCTGAGCACCTGCCCAGTGCAAGCCTGGCCAGAGATTCCACTGTGGTAAGAGTTATGCTGATGTTTTTGATGAGTCCTGTGGGTACCCTGTTACAGGTTCTCATAAAGCAGTGAGCCCATGAGACGGGATCCTGCCTGATTAGCAAGCCCCTATCTACCATTAACATCTGAAATGTGGTCTACCATCCTAAGTCCCAGGAGGCACTTAAGTCCTTGATCCCCTCTCTGCTCCATTCCTGAATCACTGACAGATTTTGTTGTTTCTACAGAGGCGATTGAAAGAAATAAAAGTGGCTGGAAAGCAATCTCACAGACCTGAATTAAGCCTCTTGAGGCACAGTCACATTGGCCTTCTCTCTTTAAATCTTGCTACAGTAACGATAGGATGTAAGTTGTGAAGACCCTGATACTAGGAGAGCCAGATTACTACAGCACAAGGGCACAATGTAACCCACAGACTGAAGCAGAAGAAAGGTACCTTCTTAACAGGGCAAACAAGTCACAACTCTGCGTGTCTCTTCATTAAAGGGAAACGTATCAATCTACCACAGCACAACAGGAGAGGATGACGTCCTGGTATCCTGGTACTTTTACCTAGCCACGTCAGGTACCAAATACCATTTATATAATGCTAGACCCTTCTCCAGAGGAAGAGACAGGCCTCTTCCACACAATCCTAGGCTTGGAGTATATCAGAGATACAACCAGGCCTCTACCATCCCTTACATTCCTAGACACAGGGGTATCTTCTTAGGCACTGAAAGGTCACTGGGGGTGAAAAGGAAAGTGAGTTGTTAAAGACAAGAGCCTAGAAACTAAGGTCCTGTTGCTTCCATCGGAGATCTAAAAGAGGAATTGATGGGGGCGGACCTGCGATGGAAGGAGAGCTACGGTGTCTGGTGAGGATCAGTGACCATCCACAGGGTGAAGAGGCTTAGGACTGGTTCCTACAGGGGACCTATAGCAATGTACACGCAAAACCCTTTGATTTCCTTTCACAGAAATGCAGTAATAGACAACTTTTAGAGATATGCTACAGCACACAGATGATTTTCACATACCAACTGCCTGCCTCACAGAAGGCCGTGCTCGTTTGCAGAGATAAAATTACATTAGCGTCATACTATTGCTGAAACTTATTTATGTATGTCTAAAGCACATTATGATACTGAAGAAACATGGATTTATGAAAACCACTCAATTATGTTTATGTTTAAAAATGTAACAAAACAAAACAAAAACCTCACCAGGCTTCACTTACTTGTATTGATCAGAAATTGATTAGACACACCAGGATGATCCACATCATGGATTGCACTGGCAAAAATGGCCGCGAGGATCTCCAAGTCTGTGAACACAGCCTGGGAACCAGACAGTGCAAGCAGCATTAGTATGTTATTCCACAGTTACATGAGTGAAGTACTATATAGACAAAAGCAATAAACCACCGCAGGGCTCAGAAGGACCACAGGGTATAAAGCCTGTCAGCACCTTAAATATGCTCCATCAAGAAGGGGCTTTTAGATGAGTTTCTTAAATGTTATTTGAAAGCAAAATATCTCATCTGACTTAATTATTATTCATCATGACAAAACTTGTGTTTGTTATATTTTCAAAAAATATTACCTAGCATATCTGAAATGATGCTGTGAGGAAATACAGGCTGATGGGCAACTTGCTTAATGATCTACCGTGAGAACATTTGAGGCCTCAGTAATGCCTGAGGAATTCCTTTCTCTCATCTTCCTGTCATCTAGATCACCAGCTCAGCCTCAGTGCCGACACAAGGCTGTGCTCAGGGCACCGTGTACATGGGCAGTTCCGCAGATTCCTCGCCTTCACTCACAACACGCTGGAGGGATGTACAACCAAAACTGTCTCCAGATAGTCCCCAAATGTCCCTGGGTGTAGAGATGGAGGAGACCAGGACAGAAATCGTTCCCACCTGAGAATGATGGCTGAGGGGTCAGTTAAATAATGAACTACAAGCATTATACACTGCAGAGTCTATACAGCAACTTGGAATCTTTTCCTCCAAATGATTACAAAATCAAAACACCTTCATTAAACACTCAGTGGAACAATTCCTTAGGATTTGGGAAATTCAAAAGGGCATTTCCTTCAAATAAATTCTTGGAAAGTATTAACGTGTTGCTTATATTTTAGAAAATAATCGTCCTTTGAACTACAGCTGTCTGAATAAAGTTCTAGAAAACAACCTAGTCGGTATTACAAGACCTGTGTGCGTGTCATGTGTGCGTGTCATGTGTGCGTGTCATGTGTGCGTGTCATGTCCACTGGGTCATTTCAGAGAAGCAACACTATAAACAGATGAATCCCCAAATCTGACCAGCTCTCAGATAAAATTCATCAAAGGATCTGTTGTTTATCAGCAATAACTCTCTCTTTCTTACAAGTAAGTCAACGGATCCCCACTGAAGTTACTTGCTGTCTGTACTGCGAACCCTCCAACATCAGAGTTTAAGAAAGGGCGAGTGAGTGACACATAGACAAGAGTCTGACCTCCAAGGCGGGTGTAGAGAGCAGCACGTGAGTGGACTGGACGACGTCTGCAGCATGGATGTTGTTGTGATAGGCCACGTCAGCATGGTAATGGTCTTCCAGGGTCATAAGATACGTAATCAAAGTGTCTACTGGGATTTTAAACGTTTTTAACAAATCTCGTTCCTGTAAAGAAAGAAATCCTCTTAACATTTTTGTCTTCCTAGTAAAACTCCCCAGAGTATGTTAAAAGAGAATCATATGCTGGTGTTGCCTACAAATAACCCCCCCCCCAAAAAAAAATGAAACAACGTTTCCTCATATCTACTGAAGGAAATGGAAGTATCTGGGAAGGGCAGAAACTCTGGCAACAACCGGCAGCTGGGCTGGCCCTCTGAGAGCAACATTACTGTAGTTGAGGGGTTCAGTGTGAGGAGTGGGGTGCCAGTCCTCAGCTCTGGTAGGCAGCTTCAGTCACACCAGATGAACCCACATTTGCTCTCAGGCTGGAGCTCCTCGTCTAGTCTCAAGGTCCCAGTACTAGCCCCAGCTGCCCAGTTAGCCCTATCCTGACATGGTTCAGAGGCAAGAACAAGACACGGGTATAGAAAAGATGGCTGAACACTAAAAAGATACTCAAGAAATTATATTCTATTTAATCAGGCTTGTTTTTTGAGAAAGTGAAGAGGTCTTCATTGTGGAGATGAATTTATAACTATTGTTATTACATTGTTTCCATTCCTCCATATTTCTAAAATAGAAAAAATGCTATTGTTTATGTTTTACATATACCCCATACTTATTATTACATTCCTTGTAAAGGAGCAATAATAGAGAGGCATCAAAACAAGCCAAAGGGGATGGCACAATGCACAGAGCAAAGGCTGGGCAGTTTGGGCAAAACATGCCCCAGGGCCTCATTGTTGAGGTGGCATTGTTAATAGGTTGCTGTGTGACCACAGGATGAGTACATTAACTTCATTAGTGAGTTCACAGCTAGATGGACTACCATGAAGTAGGCCCAGCTGAAAGGAGCATGCCTCGGAGATCTTCTCCTGTCCCAGGATAACGGCTCCTCCTCCCCCCATCCCTCATCTATTGGTTCATTTTCAGCTGAGTCACTTCTACTCTTCCAGTGTTTATCTTATCAAAACCTAAAGGCAATGGGGTGGCTGACCAGACCCCCTGAAACTGTGAGCCGAAATAAATCCTTCCTCCTTCTCAAATGACTGGCTCATGTCACAGCAGCAGAAAATGACTAATGCAATTCCTAGTTAGAAGCAACTGAAGGACATCACCAGACACTCAGTGTGCACAGTAACAGGGAGGGGCCGGTTACCTGAAAAATGGTGTGCATGATAACAGTCAGAGGCCGGTTACCAGACAGCTCTGCTATTCGGAAAACATGGAGGCCCCACTTGTTCACATCTTCTAGTTCCTAGGGCAAAGGAAAGCACCGAAGAACACAGAGCTGAACAACTGGTGACAATAAGCAGAAGCATTTAGATATGTCAGGCTTTAATGAAAAACACTGCTGAAGGAAAATGAAGCATGGCTCATGTTAAATGTAAAGGAAATGACATGTGTCAAACTCAAGGCAAGTTCATGTCAATATCCTGAAACACAGTATTGCTTAAACTCGTGAATCTGATAGCAAATTACATTCATAAGCTTTCAATTTTGACATCAAATAACTTAATAGATGAAATCTTGTCACAGAATCTACCTCGTGTAAAATCCAGAAGAAATGATAGATTTCTAACTTTCCAAAGTCAAAACCTCAAATGGAGATGCTTAAAAGTAAACAAAAAGCAACCAAACAATAACAAATGAAGACAAATCAACCAAGCCATATGTCTAAAACGACATATTAATAAACTTTAATAATTTATAGAGATTTATGAAGAGACCTTTTTACCTTCAAACCAATTTCTAATCTGAAATGTAAATAAAATATCCAATAAAAAATAGAAAAAAAAAGAGCAATTGTTGCTCTTTCTGAGAACTTGTTAGGTGGCTCATAATTTCTTGTAACTCCAAGTACAAGGTATCTGATCCTCTTTTTGCATGTGCTCGCACATGCACAGACACACATTTTTTCCTCTCTCTTTCTCTCTCACTCAATTAATTCAAAGAAAATAAGTTTGGTGTACACACACACACACACATATGTGTGTGTATATATATATATATACACACACATATATATATATGTGTGTGTATATATATGAGATATAGTCTCACTGTGTACTGTGTAGCACTGGCTGGTCTGGAACTCACTCTGTAGACCAGGCTGGCTCTGAACTCAGAGATTCACCTGCCTCTGCCTCCCAAGTACTGGGATTAAAGGCATGTGCTACTATGCCTGACTCTAAAGCAGTTTTTAAGATCAAATAAATTAATGAACTTTTCTTTCTGTTTAAAGGAGAAAAAAAAGAAAGAATTCATGGGAAAATGTCATGCCCCACACATGATCTCTGGAGGCCCCTCACCTTGGCCAGGACATCTTCCTGCTCTGTTTTAACCCCAAACCTTGGGATACACGAATTAGTCAGGCTGGAGCTATGCATCAACTTCTTGACCCCACTGATCTGCGACATTGGCCTTTTCTTCTTCTCCTTTTCCTTCTGAGTTGGAGAGGGAATTTCCACTTCATGCTGCTTATCTTAAAAAGTTCAGAAAACACCCTACATTTACTATAAATCGACTTTATTTTTTAAGCATATAACATATAAATGAATAAACTGAAACTGCTCAGTATATATTCTAAGAAGTGATACCAAACACTGCTTTTCTTTTTGACTACAAGTTGGAAGTCAAATAATTATCAGAGGCCTCTTGATAGATTATCCTGAGAGAAAATTGTAGGATGTGATAGCCAACTTAACGAAAGCAAAATACTTGGTTATTTACTGTTTGACTACTCTATTCCCATTCGAATTCATTTATAAGTTTGGCAACAACTTTTCCCACTAAGGACTCAAGTTCCAACATGTATTTTAAAATGGTAGAGACTTCACATGCACATATATCAAAAACAGCAGCACATGAACTCAGGAGCTAATTAACTGTGACCAGTCACACTGTGGGAGTTGAAGTTACCCCTCAGAATGACCAGATATTGCTGTCACTGTTTCCCTGTGCAATAAGAAGTAAATGCTTATGATGTAACCAAGCCTTACAGGGACCCACAGCAAACCACAACATTATATAATGATAGGCATATATGCTAATTTTTACAGTAAAAACTATAGATGCAAGATGTCTTCAGACATTCATCTCTCGTAAAGGCCTTAACTCATCCTTATGAGTTTAGTATAGGTTCAACAAACATCTGTTTAGGAACTTGCTTCTTCATATGCAGTAATTTTGATTTAGAGATCCATTCCCATGACTAGGAGGTGTTAAATGATTACCTTTCACTTACTGCATTTTCTGTCTGCAGTTAAGGTTAGAAGGGTTGTCTTGACAAACCACACTCTTGACTACAACAGCAAACTTCCCTTAGGAATTGTACCTGTATCAGCCAAGCTAGGCCTGCCTGGGACTCACCAGACTTTCAAGTCTTCATGGAAGGGACCATTTATAATTTATTATTAATTCTCTAGTGCCCAGTAATGGTGGCATTTAACAAAGATGTCTCCAACACAGTCATGAATAAATATCTCAGTAAATATTTTATAATTTAGTATTAGGAAACACTTTGCTAGAGAGGTAGCCTCAGTGGTATGATGCTTGCCTAGCGTAGGCTGTAGCTTTGATATCCAGCACTGTAAGTAAACAAACAAACAAAATATACCATGTCACCTTAGACTGATTCTGAGGCTTAGAGTCTCTGTTTATTAACGTTATATATTTAAAATAGCTTTTCTAACATATATTTGGGTTCCATAACAAGTTAAACTCTAACTGCCCTCTGAAAAACAATCAAGCAAACAAGTCTTAAGGAAAGTTTTAAACTGCATGCTGCTGTTCTCACCTAAGAATGTGTTTGATATGTACTCCGACACCTGGTTGCCAGACCGACTCATTTCAGAGAGATGAGTGAGCTCCCGGTTAAGCATCCTTTTGAACTGAAAGACAAAAAGGTACAGAGTAAGAGAAGTGTCATGGCATAAGCATGCCTGGAGACAAAGTGAAATACGTCCAAAGAATGCTGAAATAATCATGACTATTTATTACCCAGTGTGACTTTCTCCAGTGTAGGAAAGTTATTACTGTGTGGTGCTCAGGCACTGGGCCCACACAGATACGAAAGCACATGAAAGGAAGGAGGTCAGGATGAATGAGGAATTGAGTTTTGAATTTCATTTAACTTTAAATATCTTCAATTTAAATATGCAAAGTTAGCCAGCACAGATTACAGCACTTAATGACATTAATCAATGGATAAAAGAATTTTTAAAATAAAGGTATTAATATCATTGGCAGAAAAAAATGTAATAGGTGACTATAAAACAATTGTGTGTGGCATTCTATATTTCTGCTTGCTTTCTCTTGCTTTTGGCTGTTTGACTGTTTCATATACTTATGGAGTCAACTTTAGTCAACTTTAGTTTTCTCCCCCAAACCCCTACTGGAGCCCTTCTTCCCAGCAAATCTCCCTTCTGAGTTCATGTCTTCTTTTTTTTTAACCTGTGACACACTGAGTTTAACACTGTATTCTTTTATCATTTGATTGATCACTATCAAAAAATGAATATACAATAATGGTCAAATGTAAAAGTATAATTCTTTTTAACCATAAGGGAAAACTGAATAGGTTTATGTGTTCTCTCGGGGCTTTGGAGAGATACAACATTGGAGTAAATACTACCCAGCACTTTCTTCTGACACTGTATACAAGCAGAAATTGTAAGGAGTATTAGTTCTCAGAAACCACGGAATTCACCTATCCATCTCCCAAGTCAGAAAGAAAACAGGTCAATGCTTGGTTCTCTGCTTTTCAAGTTCACCATTTATTTTACTGAGGCCACAGGGCCTATGCCATCAGACACACTGCCTTCATCTGCTACTGCAGCAGGGGAATGCAGATTAAAGCTGCTCTGGGATTTCAGTTTCCCCCCACTCAGAATGGCAAGGGCTAAAAGGACGAGGAAAAACGCAGGTGAGGATAGGGAGTGGGGGAACACTGCTGGGGGGAGTGTGAACTGGCACGGCCATTATGGAAGCCCGTTTGGGGGTTCCACAAAAAGCCACAAATAGATCTGTCACATGATTCAGCTTCAGCACTCCCAGGCGTTTCCCCAAAGGACTGTCTGTATCTTACTACAGACGTACTTTGCACACCCATTTTTACTGCTGTTCTGTTCACAAGGACCAAGAAACAGAAACAACCTAGATGCCCACCAATGGGTGACTGGATGATGAAACTGTGGCACATTTACACGATGGGATATTATTCGGCTTTTAAAAATATGAAATTATGAAAATTTCAGTTAAGTGAGTGGAATTGGAAGAAACCATTCTAAGTGAGGTAACCCAGAAAGCAAACATGGCATTTTGTGGATGTTGTCTTTGACTCTTTACATATGTGTATTCCATGGAAAATACAGAGGCCAGAGAACTAGTAAGGGACCACACGGATAGGGTTTCTTAACGAAAAGCCTACCTTTGAGTCTAAACAATCTCCCAACCAGGTGAGTTAATATGCCTCAATAGTGTTCAGTGCCCTGGGTTTGCCTGTTTGTTTTTATTGTTGCCTGTCTGTTTTTGTTGTTATTTTGTCAATTTGACACAAGCTAGAGTTAATCTGGGAAGAAGAACCTCAATTGAGAAAATTCCTTCAGGTCTGGAGAGATGACCCAGTGGCTGGAAGCACTGGCTGCCCTTCCTGAGGATCTGGGCTCTATTGCCAGCACCCACATAGTGGCTAACAACTGTTCGGAACTCCAGTACCAAGGGATCCAGCACTCTCTTCTCCATGGCCTCTAAGGCCACCAGGCATGCATGGAGTACAGAGACACACATGCAGGTATGACACTCATGCACACACACACACACACACACACACACAGAGAGAGAGAGAGAGAGAGAGAGAGAGAGAGAGAGAGAGAGAGAGAGAGACAAACACACACACACACACACACACACAGAAAGATACACAGAGAAAGATAGAAAGACACACATAAACACACACACACACACAGAGAGAGAGAGAGAGAGAGAGAGAGAGAGAGAGAGAGAGAGAGAGAGAGAGAATGCCTCCATCAGATGACCTGTATGCAAGTCTGTAAGCATTTTTATAAAGATTGATATGTGATATGTGAGGGTCCAGCTCACTAGGAACAGTGCCAACTGTTCCTGGGTGGATGGTCCTGGGTTCTATAAGAAAGCAAACCAAGCAAGCCATGGAGAACTAGCCAGTAAACAGCACCCCTACACGGTCAGTGCCTGCCTCCAGATTCCTGCTCTAGTGACCTGGAAGTGTAAAGTGGACTAAGCCTTTTCCTTTCCAAGTTGGTTTTGGAAACGGTGTTTTATCATAGCAATAGAAAGCAAACTAGGTCATTCAGAATGATGCAGTTTTCCAATATACAAGGTAACTTATATTAAATACATGATCAAAAATGTAAAAACAATAAAACAATTTTATTATGTTTGGTAGTGTCTAAAACTTTACATTTCACTATCAGGTCTCTCTTGTCAGTCCAGAGAGGAGGAATGAGCTCATCTTTTGGAGGTGTATGAAATGCAAGTTTTAGACTTGAACGGGTTTATTTAGAATTTTCAAAATTCTGGCTTCTCTACATTCTCTGTACTGAGATGTATAAAGCCAGAAAGTCTTTTCAAATCTCTTCCAAAGTCAACACTAGGAATTCCAAATCAAGAATAAGACTTCAACAACCACCACAGACAGAGTGTGATCAAGATAATGACAGCCAACTGTAGGAAAGAAGGAGCTCGTACTAGCTTTCTCTTACAGGTAGAAAGAACTGTCCATGGTGAACACAAGTTCTGTTTGACAGTCTGAAGGTACAAGTATATTCTCAAATGTGGGAACATAAAATTTGCTTTTTTAAAAAAACCCATGTATTTGTATACATTCTTCTTAAGCATAGCATTCACATGTATGTTAATAAAAAATCTGGAAAGCTATAGACAGAAGGGAAGATTTAGAGAAACATTTAAATCCCCACTGCTCAGAGATAATTACATATAAACCACAGACAATTAGCTATATTTGCTCTGAGGCCTTTGTATAAGCATGTGTACTGCATCGAATATTGCCAGACAACAGCAGGTCCTGTTTGCTTTCTCTGAGCAGCACACACTACTACTTGTGAAACTAAAATGAGGCTTCCTGAGATTATTTCAAAAGGCGTTTATACTAACTAGTGCTAAAAATCTGTGTTATCTTTACCAAGCTATGTTTTCTGAAGTGAATTATCAATTTACAATTAATTGAATGAGCTATCCAATTAGGCTGTCTTCTATTTTGCCTACCACAGAACATACACTCAGTTATTTGAGTTTTTTTCGTTAGCCCTTCTGTAGGTAGTCAACCCTGATTTCTGAGCCTTTTATACTCACAACTGATTTTTATCAATGCAGGACACAAACATGGAACTGACTACAGACACATATACAGCTAATCTCCATTTTATCCAGCTGCACAAAGGAATTTAGGCAAGGGCCCATATGAAAAATCACAGCTGTTTCAAAACCGTTTTTTTTTAAACATTGTTTCAAAACCAATATTATATATAATCTTTCACATATAAAACAATTCTTCATAAGTAATTTACCCTTGGGAAAATATACACATTAGGTAAAACATATTCAAAAGACGGTTTTCTAAATATTTTAAACATGTAGCCAGCAATGTATTCTCTCTCTAATTTCAAGTAGCCCATGCTCTTAAGATGAAGTTGCCATTGAGAACTACCTGATCATGTCAAAATGGGGAGGGGCGGACACTGCTTTCTGCTAGTGTGAGCCTCTCAGGAGACAGTACAGGAACCTCCAGCCACACTGAACAACTCTCAGTACAACAAAACACCATGATGCTCATTTTTTTCTGAAGATCACTAAAAAAACGAGACAGGAATCCACAGACCCATCGTCTACCTTACACATAGACTAGCAGGATTAATATGTTGCTGGACATGGCAGCTGGAAAATTTTTCATGTTCGTGCTACCTGCAGATATGCCATACAAATTATTTGGTTTTGCCAAATGATGTACAATTATTCTGGGCATTTGTTTACATAATTCATCAAAATAGTTGGTTAGTAGTGCAATAACTAAGGCTAAAAAAGCCACTGAAGAGATTCTTCTGTGCAGACTCACGGTGCAGACTCCCCTCAATAGTGCTGTATCATACTCTATTCCCACATTCCTCTCTCCTCTTTGTCTAAAACATAGAAGCATGGGTTGGAGAAACCCTACATCACACACCTGCCTCCCTACCAAGGCCTGCTGTGTTCCAAAGAGGGCAACGTTACACTTTAACATAATTACCAGACAATATGTAAAGCAACTCCCTAAAGTATTCATCCCAGGAGAGCTAAGTTGGGGGGGGGTGTCCCAAAGACCATGTTCAAAGAGTCAACTAAGTTATAGCACAAGGGCATTTCTGAAGAGTTTTACCTCTTTTGGCTACTGCTAATGACCTTTTCAATCTGGATATGCTAAATTAATAAACACAAAAGTGGCCACGAGTGCTTTCTCAACTTGTAGTTGATTGCCTGATTAAAGAACAATACACTAAAGCTTTTAACAAACATTTTAATTACAAGGTTAATTTCTGTCATTTTGAATAACTATGTTTATTAAGATATTTATAGACTGTTTCCATGGGTAGGGAAGGATGGCTTTAAAAAAAACCTAACAGAATGTCTCCTCCTTGTGACACCATTACACCCCCTAATTGATTTTAGGATGGGTGAATGCAAAAGTGCCTCTTACTAAAGCCCTGTGAAAATGCTATTGAATTGGGTATGTAGCTGTGTTTGAACGTTACCTCTATTTTATGTTGATTAATTTCTTACTGGTTCTGTTCTACTCTAAATGGCTTATAAACATTACAAGGAATTATAGTTACAACTAGGGGGAAAGAAAGAGGAAGAT